TATAGTAACTGAAGTCCTGTTAATGAATCAGCTATTTATAGTTTAATTCACCCTTGATTTAATTCTTTATCTACCGATTTCTTTTGTTTAGTAGAGTAAAATCGTCTTGTAACTATAGTAACTGAAGTCCTGTTAATGATTTGTAGAAGATACACTGTAACGGTAATCTAGTTATATTGTTGTAACATTGTAGAAGACAGTTTAATATGGTAACGGTAACATTGTTATACTACGTTTTATCTAGTTGTAAAACCGTTTGTGTGATATCAATTTCATTGTTTTTCAGAATATTTCCAACGGTTATTTCATAATACAATAAGTTCAAAGTTGTTACTAACATTAAACGTTTTTTTGTTATACTACAGATTTTCCTATGCACTATTTTGAACACCATCCAAGCTTGACAGAACTAACAAACGCGATTATAAATGATTTTAAACGTATATGAGCAGTCATTCCAAATATTATCCCAGCCTTTCTTACAAGATGACCCACTTTCGAATCGCAGCTCCTACCACCACTAAGAATCCTTTTCTCCCTCTCTTCGTTGTAGACGTAGTTTAGCCGTCGAAAGAAGAATATCAACTAATTAGAAATTTGTTTAATTACACATTTATAATTAGACTAAGTATCACGAAAACTAAATGTATATACACGAGATATTCAGGTTTGAGAGTAGGTAAGGTTTTTGTCACAGACTCATAGCTAAAAATGTTACAGTGGTAAAACTACAAACCTTCATTGGTTCTAGTTCTTACAGGTGAATGAAGGATTTGTTTTAATGCAACATGAGCTCCGACTATCGTTGACGTATATTTAACTAACCGTCGTCACAGTAAACATTCGAATCATAACATTAGTGTCATAGCAGCCTTAAATCATGCTAAGTGATATGTATTACAGTAGTGTCCTAACAGCCTTAAATCATGCTAAGTGATATATATGTATTACAGCAGTGTAGTAACAGCCTTAAATCATTACTAAACAAAAGAAATCGGTAGATAAAGATTTAAATCAAGGGTGAATTAAACTATAAATAGCTGGATCATTAACAGGACTTCAGTTACTATAGTTACAAGAAGATTTTACTCTACTAAACAAAATAAATCGGTAGATAAGGATTTAAATCATTTCAAAACGACAGCAGCTTACCTGGCCGATGTACAGTCCCGATAGAGGGCCTCGAAGTCCGAACAAGTTAACAACTTACATCGGTTCACACCCGGCTGGATGGCACCTAGCCTCCGTAGGAGTCGCACCTGTTCAACGTTACACACTATAGGGGTGATGTTGAGTCGCTTCAACTTGTTGTATACGGTGTGCAACCCTCCGACTAGGTGCTTCAAAAACAGGTCAAAGGCTTGGGGCAAGCACAGCAGGACCTCGCGATCCACTCGGAAAGCTGCAAGTCTCGTGCCGTGAAAATCAATAAGCCTACACTCCTGAGACCCGTCAGTAACGAGACTCGTCGGTGAAGATACAGCTCGGACTCCGCTGCTGCTATCGTACCCGTCAGCTCTGGGGTTGGTACCGGGAAACTCAGAGCACGTGGTCGCTAGACCGACTGTCGCGGAGCCAATGTGCGACGGGCTGTACTGGCGTATCGCAATTTCGGCACAGACTGGAGGTTCAGGTGGGTTGGCTTCAGACCTAAGGCTAAGGGAACCACTTATGGAAAAGTTTGTAGCAGTCTGTCCGGGTGGGGGCGACCCCACTGGAACGTTCGGGAGATTCTTGTCTAGTTGATGGACGTCTTGCGAAGTACCTTCTTCGGTCTTGGTCAGTGACGCTCCAGCCTTCCATTTAAATAAAACTTCCATACACTTCGTGGTTCCGTACGTCACAGTGCGAAGTGAGCTCGTTAAAATTATCAGACAATGTAAGCTTCTATAGCGCAGGTTGCCCGGAAAGGCACCGTCTCAAGCGATCGTCGTTATGTTAGATCCAGATCCAGTAACCGAAAAGAACTTGTTATTTTGAGGCGGAGCTCAATACACGATATTGAACGAGGTTTAAGGAGCTCGCATCAACCGTACACACATTTCTCTCAAAGTACAGATGCTGTCGGAAAACACACGCTAAAAAGAGAGAGATATCACTGAAACGGAAAAGTTTCAGTTAGTAACGTATAATTCAGGAATTCGTAATCCGTCGTAATCCACTAGAAGAATCGCAACGTATACCGAATCCGTGGAGTTTGATACGTTATCTCGTACATCGTAAAATGCTTATTCTGTAGCACAAAGCATGACTTTGGTAAAAACATCATGTCAGATTAGATCTACTAGTCACTTCAAAACGTATATTTTATATAGTCTTGTGAGTTCTTTAACACAAATATTTTGATGTAGGAAAATCTAGAAAATCACTGGAATCGTATAACAAGGTAAAGAAACATAACAGTATGTGATTAAACGTAACAATGTAATGAAACGCAACAATGTTACAAGATGATCAAATGAAAACCCCACAACAATCATATGTAACAATTTTCATTTAAACACTTGGATTAAAGTACAATTGAAAACCCCTGAAGTCCTCTTGTATCCCCTGAGAAATAAACTCGTAGAGGAGTTGTACTTCCTGACTAATAAGCTGGTACAAATGTTATATTTTCTGAGAAATAAACTCGTACAAATATTGTGTTTCTTGGTTTGAATTTCGCGCAAAACTACACTAATTTAGCAGTGAAAGACTAGAAGGAAGGCAGCTAGTTATCAACACCTTGACCTTAGTCAACTCTTGGGCTATTCTTTTACCAACGAATACCAACTGACCGTCACATTATAACGCCCCTACGGCTGAAAGAACGAGCATGTTTGGTGTGACGGGGATTCGAACCCACGACCCTCAGATTACGAGTCGAGCGCCCTAACCACCTGGCCAGTATTTCTTGAGAAATAAGCTTGTACATATGTTGTATTTCCTGAGAAAGAAGCTCGTACAGTAGTGTTTCATCCGAAACAGTATTATCTTGGTTCTATCTCGTACAAAATACTGTTGTGTCAGCGAGGTCACGTGACTAGTATCACGCCACGTCTTTCTAGAAATATCCTGTTCCTTCATGAATGCTCTAGCGTTTACTAGATATGTGTTAGTCTTGTATATATAAGACGGTCACAACGTGACGGAACAGTGAAGGAGTAATTGAACTGCAGTCAGAGAGTGTGTAATTGAACTGAGTATTGTTGAAGTCGAGCACGTGAGACGTTCGTTGAGAGTTATAGCGTTTGATATTGCGCGACTGTTGAAATTAAGTGTATCGCAAAGTTATATTCAGAAAGAATAAACCAGTTTTATTTAAGAAAGGACTTGTGTCGCTAAAGTTTCGTCGGAACGAATTTACGGAAAATTAACTAACGAACGGAGACGTAACAATACGTTATTAATGACGTTAATCTAAATAGCATCATATAATATCGTTTAATGTTTCTCGTAATAATTGTTCCAAGCTTCTAGTTAATAATATGCATCTCACCAACATAGAATGGTTTAGTTTTTCTGTGTAAGAACACTATAACTGTTACATTCAATCCGTGTTGTCGGTTAAAAATAGCTGAAAAGGTGGCAGGTACTGCTAACTTGTTACTCCCTCTGGTTAGCAGTTCTAAATATAGCAACTTGAATACTATATAATCAAACATTAACTAATTACTTAGTTTAACATATTTGCTAAAATATTTTTGACTTTAACATGTTTCTATATTAATTGTAACACAAAGGTTAAAAAATTAAAACATTTACTCTTAATTGCGCGTCATTAAACAACTTATAATGACCAGTAGGTTTTAAACATACTTTTCGAATGTTGCGCCATCTATTAGTCGGTACATTAGTTAAACCTATATTACATTAACGTTTCCTTACGTTTTGAAGAAGTTCAATGCCAATTTTTACGCTATAGAACTACGATAAAGTTAACATGCTACTATATAAACTATAATCTAATATTTACAGCATATATATTCAGCTTGTACGTCAAAGAAATCCGCCACATTTGACGGTTTTCTCTGTTGTAAGTGACCCTTGGGGTGTAACCATGGACAGACATTCTTTGTACAGTATATAAAATGCATTTTATACGTGGCAGACAACCCCGTTTTAACTGGAACCCAGACCTGACCAAAAAAGCACTGGAATGTTCTATAATTTATATTGTGAATTAAAGATTTATTAAGGTTTGGAGATGAATAAAACTAGAGATACAGATCTGGCACCCCGTAGACTAGGCCTCTCACTACAACCACCAAAATACAAGTTGGATGCTAAGTCTCTCACTACCACCAAAATATAAGTTGGAGGGTAGACTAGGCCTAGAACATTAGAGCCACTGGAGATGTTGACAGAACATTAGAACCACTGGAGATGCTAACAGAATATTAGAACCACTGAAGATGCTGATAGAACATTAGAGCCACTGGAGATACTGACAGAACCTTAGAGCCACAGGAGATACTGACAGAACATTAGAGCCACTGGAGATGTTGACAGAACATTAGAACCACTGGAGATGCTAACAGAATATTAGAACCACTGAAGATGCTGATAGAACATTAGAGCCACTGGAGATACTGACAGAACCTTAGAGCCACAGGAGATACTGACAGAACATTAGAGCCACTGGAGATGTAGACAGAATATTAGAGCCACTGGAGATGTTGAAAGAACATTAGAGCCACTGGAGATGCTAACAGAATATTAGAACCACTGGAGATGTTGACAGAACATTAGAACCACTGGAGATGCTAACAGAATATTAGAGCCACTGAAGATGCTGATAGAACATTAGAGCCACTGGAGATGTTGACAGAACATTAGAGCCACTGGAGATACTGACAGAACATTAGAGCCACTGAATATGCTGACATACCATTATCTTTACTTCCCACTGTAAATATAATATAATGATCAGTGTAATGACAGAACGTTATCTTTACTTCCCAATGTAAATATAATATAATGATCTGTGTAAACACAGAATTAAAGAGATTCATTCCATATTTATCTGTTTCTAAAATTCCGTTTATATTCTGCCAGCAGTATACAGCACAAGTTACACATTGCTTTGGCTGATCAGTCTTAGTAAGATTCACACGTTTTGACTGTAGATGTTCCACTGAAATGAAACCCTTTCCTTGAAGTAAGTTTCAAAACAGTCACACATATAAACAAGGTTTGAACATATTTAATACAAAAAATATTGATATTTCATATTTTTACACAAACACAGCAAGAACACATGCACAATACTGATACAAGAATAATTCTATAATCATACAATTTAATGATAGAAGCAAAAAATAACACAATGTTGCATTTAACACTTAAATGTAAGAAAAACACACACTTTGAAAAAAAATATTTTACCCAAAACGACTTGTACAAGGATTCAAGTTCTTATACAGTTATGTGTCCTTTTAAGTCCATTGTTGTCTTCTTTCACTATAGGACAGATTTTGACCATCATACTGGGTGGTTAAAATAAAAGATTTCCTAAAGAGAATTACTATCAAAAGCTGGCTAAGTTCTAATGTGAACTATCTGTTGACCACGTATGCTCTAGAGAGAAGTACAAAGTTACTTCAGCTATATTCACTAATTTCGGACTGAAGAGGACAAGTACATGTGCAATAACTAGTACCTTTCTACAAGTTTTTTAGATAGAATGTATATTGTTTCCAAAGTGTTTTCTCTCTCACTAAGTATATATTAGATCCTTGGACCAAACTGCAGTTTAAAGTAATCAGAAATAGGACTAAGGTAATAAAGATTTCGACTTCACTTGTCTAGACTCTCTCCTCCATACACTACAGAATAACACAAGACATCTGTCTGCAGCATTTAATAATTTATGTAATAGTTTTACAAAATAATAATACACTGAACTAATACTGAAGCTATAATTACCTAATACTAATGGTGATTGTTTTTTAAGGCAAAATTGCTTCTTCTTGATCAGTTTTTCTATAAAGTAGCATAGATACAAAAACCAATAGACTAAGTATTTTCAAGGACATGTAGACTTCCAAGAAGTTTGTTTCCTTAAAAGAATTTATAATGTTTCTAAAGTTAACTGTAAAAAATCAAAATGTAAGAAAAATAAACACCTCAGTTTGTAAGCAAATAGTAATATTGCATTGTTAAGGGGTCAGAGGTAAGACCCAAGACTGAAGAAATAAGAGTACTAAAAAGTAAGAAGATTTACAGAAATAGAGTAATTAGAGGTAAGAAACAAACTTGGAGAGATACGAATACTCAAAGATGAAGCCCAAAGTTGGAGAGATAAGTGTACTTAGGGTTAAGACCCGAACTTGAGAGAGAAGTTTATTTAGGGTTAAGACCTGAACTTGGAGAGATACGTGTATTTAGGGTTAAGACCTGAACTTGGAGAGATAAGTGTACTTAGGGTTAAGACTCGAACTTGAGAGATAAGTGTACTTAGGGTTAAGACCTGAACTTGAGAGAGAAGTGTACTTCGGGTTAAGACCTGAACTTGAGAGAGAAGTGTATTTAGGGTTAAGACACACTGTTGATGACAGGAAAATACTAACAAAATGAGGGAGAAAACAGTGATGGAACAAAAATTGACATTACTAAAATGAAATTTTAGGACTGGACTAGGCAGAGAATATCTTTTGAAACAACTTAAAATAAACTTAAACTCAAATAGAAAGCACCTACTACCCTTGAAACCAAAGCCTTTGTCAAATTTTACTTGTCTCTAATCTTTACACAATAGAGAAAAACTATATATACAAATATGTACAATAACAATATATACAATAATCAAACTAGTCTACAAAAACTTTCATTCTCCTTCAGTTAGAATGTTGCCTACTGATTCCTCCGGTCTTTGATCTGAAGGAGATAGGAGGTAAACATGAACAACATGTCCTTGCTGGGGTGAGCTACTTGCCAGAAGTATTAGCTGATCTTGAGATCTAAGAATGTTAGGTGACATTCCCTGTTGTAAACTAGGAATTGTTGGACTGATAATGGATGTTGTTGACATCTCACTTGGTACTGAAACGGACGTTTTTTCTGAAACAACAGGAATACAGGTGTCCGTTGAAGTTGATGGTAAAGTCTCTTTGGATTCTCTGCTTGATATTCCCAATGGAGTTATTCCATTTGGTAAATGTTCAGAATTCAAGGATTTTTTGTAAATTAATGATGGTGATGATGGCTCTTCATCCATGCTACAAATAACTGGACATGTAATATGAAACATGTTAATTTCTGAATTGTAACTCTCTTTTGACACATCGTCTTCTTGGTTAAGAGGTTTTAGGTGAGGTTGTTTGTTTGAACTGGAATTATTTGTTGTATGTTTTTTGGGTTTGGAAAGTTTTCTTGCCTGACCCAATTTTGCTCTTTCATTTTCTGGTATATACTCTTCATCATTTGGATCATTTACAAATTCTTCTTCTTCTTCTTCATCATTGAAAATTAATTCTAAATCATCATCACCTTCACTTGAAGAATCACTAACTGCATAAGACCTACGTGCTCGTTTTTTACGACCACAAGGTCTCTTCTGTTTTGTATTACATTCTTTCTTGTTCTTAAATTTTCTTTTGTTAAAACCCACAGAAGTTTTATTTTTAGTTAACCTTTCCTCCTCTTCTCCACTGTTACTATCTAGTTCAAAATCGGCAATCTTATACTTCATTGGATCTCGAACTGCTCTTTCAACAAGTGGTTTATGCAACTTTTCCTCTCGTTTATATTTATTTTTCAATTCTTCTCGTGTTCTCTTTGAAAACAAGTTTGACATAAGAGTAAAGTCAGTTCCACAGATGCTCAAGGCTTTGTAAAACTTAGCAGTTTCTTTCACTTTCCACACTCGATAAGATTTACTCTTCCGAAATGAAGAATACGTCGCTTGTCCCGTGCTTTCGTGAACGATCTCTGGGTCCAAGTGATCTTTTTCAGCATTAGCTGTCTGCTTAATTACCAATGAAGCTTCATCTAGAATTATCTCACCATCTTCATTAACTCGAACTCGAGGACCTGGAACATTCTCATCATCATCATTAAGGTTGTCATTATCTTTCTTGTGAGTTGGATCATCAACTTGTTCTTCTTCTAAGTGACTAGTATCAGTATCCATAGTGTTGCTAATATTTTTATTTTTTTCTTTGTCATTCTGGCTTTCATTTGAAGACTTCATTGGATTTTCTGTTGGATTCCAGTAGATTAGGTCTAACATTTTCATATCTTTCTTCTCTAGAATTTTTTTGTGGCACCTTGTTCTATGGTGTTGATATTTTTTAACAGGTTTTTTATCTTTAAGAAACTGCATATTATTATTTTCATTAACTCCTACCTCCTCCATGTCCTCATCATTACCCTCAGGAGCTATTTCTATTACTGACTCAATTTCTTCCACATTTATCTGTTCATGCATGTTGCTTGAGTCACCTTTTTCCTTACTATCTTTATTATGTTGACAATCCTGCTTTTTAATATCAGTCAAAGTGTCAAAAGTGTTTTCTTCAGATTTTCTAGAAGACTCACTAGCTTTTGTTAGAGACTCTTTAGGAGGTTCAGAAACTCTTTTTCTAGCTTCTTTTGGTGTATCAAGGACCTTTGGTTTTAATCGCCGCCTCCTAGCTTGCTTATTTTTAACATCATCATTGCCTGAGATTTCATTGCTCTTATTGGATTTGGCTTCTTCGTTAATTTCTTTGTTTGCAGTGTCTTTAGGTCGTCTTTTAACAACCTGAGAATTCTTAATCTTTTTGCATGTATCAGACTGTGCATCAGTATCACACTTACCATGCACACTGTCTTCAAACCTGTAATTTTCTCTTCCAAGATCAGGCATTTTCTTGTCTGTATTTTGACTGATTTCATCACTTTCACCAGCGTGACTCATTCTATAATTTAAATCTTCAACTGTATCATTGTCATTAGTGTTTGATATCTGTAAGTCTGGTTGAACTATGTTACTTGATGAATTAGTGTAATTGATAATGGCATCATTGTTGACCTCAGGCAAGCATACAACAGAAGCTGAAGAGGTTTTACTCTCCGTGTCACTTGTCAGAGCTGAAATATAAGTTTGGTCATTAATGTTTCTGTTGACATGTTGTATAGTCTTAACAGGAGGTTCTGAAGTTTTCTCCCTAACACTACATTCCTTCGTAGATGAAACTGGTAAAATATTTGTATTGTTTTTTGTTCTAGGTGTTGAACAACCAGGATCATTTTGTACTCCTAAACCTACTTTGGCATTTACGTTAGGACTAACGTTAGGTTTGGTTGTCACAGAAGTATTTTCCAATGCAGCAGTATCAGTATCACTGGCAACGTTAATATTACTATCACGAGAACTTCTTACAGTAATACCTGTTTTGGGTTTTATTTGAAGACGTGCTCTTCGTGTTCCCATTTTGATTTTCACTCATAAACCTAATATAGATCAGACGCTTAATCGAACTTTTATTTGTTTATTTCTCACTCGATATTACGATAACACTAACGCCACCACCAATTAGTATTACTACTACTAGTAGTAGTAATATTATTAACTGTATAACGAAACGTGGAGTCTTTAAAAAGCGTCCTCTACTGGTACAAAGAGTTAGTTTTATTATTTTTACCTTTTCTAAATTAACTAATACGTTTGTGAATTCTTATATGCAACTAAAGATAGAGCATATTCAAACAAATTTTAATACCACTGTGGTTTGAATTTAAAAAACCGAAAGAGGACAACCCTAAAAAATTGTATTACGCAGTACACAATTATTTAATTCTCAACATTTTTCTTAATACATTCTGTCGTTTTTCTTCAATGAAGTCAAGTCGCGTAGTTTACTCGATGGGCTGAAACTATGACAGTGTATATTATCATTTCTACTTGAAGGGTTGAAACGATAACAGTGTATATTATTATTTCTACTTGACGGGTTGAAACTATGACAACGTGTATTATTTTTTCTACGTGACGAATTGCAACTATTACAGCGTGACGAGTTGAAATTATGGCATGTAAATATAATTCTATGCAACGAGTTGAAACTATAATAAGGTGTTTTATTACTTTTTATAAAAATATTGATTCATTGCTGATTCTAGCGGTATACGTCTGCAGAGATACTGTTGTGCCACTGGAAGGGGGGGGGGGCTGTCCATTAGTCTCGAGAGCGTAGTCCTTTTTCTGTGCTTTTCTGGATGTGACATTTTCTTGGTCATGGAAAAGCAACAACTTTGGAGACATCACGTTTCAAGTGTGATTTATTTTATAACACCCCTTATCTGCCCATAGTTATCCCTAATTTGAACTAATAGACTAGAGGAAAGACAACTACCCAATAACATCAATCGCCAACTCTTGTTTGACTGAATAGTGGATTTGATTATCACTCTTATACCCCATCCACCGCCCTAAAATGCAGAGCGCTTTTTTGCAACAAAAGAACGTAAAACACGAACCATAGAATTCGCAGTCTGGGCACGCTAATATGTAGCTCACGACCATGCCCTAATCTAAAGAAATATTATTTCTTGAGCATTCGATGAGTAGCAACTAGAACCACTTCGATTTGGAACTGAAGAAGACATAATGTGTCTCCAATATCAAGACTTCTGACACTTTATTCGATTTATTGCGTTTCTTTACTAAAGTAAACGTCTTTCTTTTCTTTTATGAAGCCAGTACTGTTTGTATTTATTCGCAGTTCAATCGTGCATAAAGAAGTAACATTAACTCTCAGAAAATTTGATCGTCCATACTCTGCGATTCGGGGTTCTCAAAGGAGAACCCACACAACTGCTAGTAAGTACAACTCAAGAAAACCCCAACTAAATTCAACTCGCTTGCTCTATTTTCTTACATGGATTTTTTGGAAATAAATTAACAAAAATTTATCACCAAGTTATTAACTTCTTTTCAGAATATTATGATACAAATAATACAATTATTTGGCTTTTATTTACTAATACACCAGTATATTATTCAAAATGAAAATAAGAACGAACTTACATTAATTATGTATAATAATTTAATATTGATAATTCAAGCTAAATATGATGTTTTCATGTCACTTTTATAGACTATTTGCGTTGGCCATAAAAAAGAATCAAGCGCCAAAGTAATATTTATATCTAATCATTATTTTATTGTAATGAATGTGTGTAAACGTGGCTGACAGGATTTTTCACGTGACAGTCCGTAGAATATACTCTTGAGCACAGGAAATGTTTAAAAACAGTATAAAATGTAGAAGTAAGAATACTATAAATTACCGTGTTGAAGTTGTTTAGATGAAGTAACGTTATTGAGGAATTCACACATGTTGTAAATATATATATATATATATATGATATGTTACTGCTTAAATAAAAAAAAATAAAAAAATAGTAACTAGTGTTCTGTCCTATGTAGCCCGCCAGTTCAAAAGCAGCATACAATACAGGTACTAGGTTAGGACGCTGTCATACCAGAAATACGACAGGACTGGGTTGTCACTGTCGATAGTTGGCGTGGGTTTAGTCACACCCTATGAAGTTAATATTGAAATAATAGGAACATAACCGGTAGGTGAGTTTGGTTTTGGTAATTATTAATACTATTATTTTGTGGTTAACGGTTGTTGAACTTCATTTAACTTAAAAACATTCAATACAATATAACACGACTAGTACAGTTTAGTACGGTGCGAGTTGTGTCACTACTCGTTACTCTGTGACATCGTGAGTGACTAAGCCTTTTAATTAAACTTTTATTTGGTTTCATTACATTTAAGTAATAGTTTTTTCAATTATTCTGCGTAGTGTTTATAAGTTAATACTTAATGCACTTAATCATTATTAGTTAATAAATTAACAGACTTTCATGTTGCTTAGTGATTCTTCAGTCAATGTAAACGTGTAACACAAGTTTGAGACAGCCGGCACTACTACTAAATACAACTAATTATAAATTGATTCCCAGTGTTTGGCGTAACAACGACCTCCAGTTATATGACTCATCTTGCCTTTGACTTTGAGATAGAATACGTTTAATCTTAGTTTTATCTGAAAATAAAACAAGCGCTAGGTGTTATCAAAGTTAGTTTGTGCTTATGATTCATAATATGAGGGTGCGTTTACTTTAAGTTTAAGAAAATATTATCTTAAAATTTAAGTGCATCATTAATTTTACCGTTTCCAGGTAAGCTATCTCGCGGAGGTCCGTAGTACAAGAAGTACATAAGTTACAACAGCAAAGCCAAGCTACGTGTTTTGCCGGTAGTGTTGACGTGAAGTCTACGCTTTTTACCTAGGCTTAAGAGAAATTGTTGAAATAGTAATTGCTAATAAAATAATAAATTGAAATTGGTTGATAGTAAGTTTAAATTTAAAATGAGGTAAATACCAGCTTCGTATTTTTGTAGGAAATATGTAACTGATGTTATATTTATTATTAAGCAAGACCTATTTTACATAATAATTTAAGCTTTTACTGGTTTTAGAACTATTGGAAGTTATTTGTTAGCTTGAGAAGAAACTGCAAACATATTTTAGGCTTAGTCTAAGCCTAATTTTATAGTTAATTATAAGCCAAGCTAGAACTTGTTTAATATTCTGAAACATTTTTTTTCTTCAAAAGTTGCTGAAAAATTAGAAACATTTAAATTTTGTCTAACATATAATAACAAGTTATCTTTATCTCCACTGTATCTATTGATTCCATATATCAGTAATACAGGCCTGTGATGGTTTTATTGTCTTAATTTTTACATGTTATACAGTAATTCCTGTACAGATTTTTCACAGAATGTCATATGTTTTTTTACATAAGTGAATCATTTTCATTGGAATTGGGTGACATTTTGTTATGTTTAAAATGTTGACAACCACTGGCTGTAGATTTCTCTAAACCAATTGATTGTTCTAAAACCCTCAAGAAACCCACTGCTAGGATATAAACAGTTAACAGACTGCATGATGTGTCATTTCTGGATTGTGTTTATTTGTGCGTGCACTTTGACATTATTTTTTTCAATATTATTTATTTGTCACTATGGCAACAAGAGGTTTTGTGAATGACCCAAACATATTCTGTTATATCTGTGATAAATTTGTTGTAAAGAATCAAAGACAAAATGTTACAGAATTTGTCAAAAAAGTATATTACATGTATTTTGGAATAAAACTTTGGGACCAAGATAAATCATGGGCTCCTTACAAAGCTTGCACCATTTGTGTCGAAGAGTTGAGAAAATGGACTAAAGGTAAGAAAGTCTTTGCCTTTTGGAATTTCAATGATCTGGCATGAGCTTAGAAACCACAGATGACTGCTATTTTTGCTCATGGAACGTGCAAGGCTACAACACTCGAAATATGAAGGAAATTTCTTATTCGAACCTTCAGTCTGATGTAAGACCTGTTGCTCTTGAACCTGATATACCTGTACCTACTCCACAGGAGACTCTTGATACAGTTTCATCTGAATCTGATGTCAATAGAAATGATGATAGGGATTGTTTTCGACCTGAAACGTCTGGTGAACCACAACTTTTGACACAATATGAACTTAATGATTTGGTGAAAGATTTGGGCCTTCTAAAGGCTTTTTCAGAGATTTTGAGGTCCAGACTTCGGGCTAAGAACTTACTTTCTCTAGGGACATCATTTTACTGGTAGATAAATCGTGAGAAAGAGTTTATATCATACTTTTCACAAGAAGGTTCACTGATTTATTGCAACAATATTGCTCAATTAATACCAATGTTAGGAGCCGCAGGCTATGAACCAAGTAAGGGGGCAATTGTTTATTGATTCCTCCAGAAGTCTAAAAGGTGTTCTCCTTCACAATGGTGACATATATGCATCTGTTTCTATTGTTCATTTGGTTCACTTGAAGGAAACGTATGAAAATCTTGAACTTCTTTTTAATAAGGTAAAATATAAAAAACACGGTTGGCTACTATGGAGACTTAAGTTCTTTGTATGTTGTTGGGTCAACATTACAGTTATACAAAGTTCCATGTTTTTTGTGTGAATGGAACAGCAGAGCATGAAATCAGCACTGAATAAAGAAGCAATGACCACGCACAGTCAGCCTGATACCAGGATCGCAAACCATTGAACGTGAAAGTTTGGTTGACACAAATAAAGTTGTATTACCTCCACTTCACATAAAACTGGGCTTGGAAAGGCCTTAGACAAAGGTGGGCAATTCCCAGCTCTTTCAGAAGTGAAACGTAAAGAAGGGATTTTTGTTGCTCTTCAGATTAGATGTTATTGACAAATCTTTAGGAAACAATTAGAACCCAAGTTATAAAAATATTGTCATAACATGCTTGATAGATTCAAAGAGTTGGGTTGTAATATGAGCTTAAGTTCATTTCTTACACTTGCATATTGACTATATCTCTGAAAATCTCAATACCTTCAGTGAAGAACAGGGGGGAAAGTTTCATCAAGACATCAGGGAAATAGAGAGGGAGGTATCGGGGAAGGTGGAACATTGGTCATTGAAATGAGATGCTCCAGATACAATACAAAGAAAGACCCCAACACGTAGTT